AGAGATCTTATTGATCTTTTTCTCAGAGAATTGATTATTTAAATAGATCTGAGAAGCCAGGTTGACAAGCTCAGTGCAATTGATTGATGAACTCTGATATTATGATATTATTATTCACATCTTGTGAGTCAGCTTTATGAGATAAAGCTGTGTTTTTAATTGATTCAAATTATCAGTCAGTTTCTCTCAATATTCTTCAAATCTTGCATTGAAATTGAAAGAATTCTCATCATCTCATTGATATAATGAGTTGAACTGCTGTGCTGCTGTGAAGTCACAGTTGCAGTGATCTTCAATTTAATTCAGTAGAAAGTTCTTGAATTCTTCTCAAGTCATAACAGCATTGATACACTCAAGCTTTCTCTTCTTGATGGCTCAAGTAGTCACAGAGATGCCTTCAAGAAGATTGACAGTGTATATTACTTATATCTTGTGAGTATTATACTAGCTCAGATTAAGGTGGAATTTCTGTTCAAGAATACAGATAAAGCTGTGAAATTCAGACAAGATATTTCTCTTATATCTCAGTGAATCTCTGATCTTAATCTCTCTATCTTCATAATAGATGTAGATGTGTAGAGGCCGCGATGATAACAGGGCGGTTGAAAGGCCTATGTCAAAATGCACAGTAGGTTCAGAAATCTCAGATTTCTGCTGAAGTAGAGATGTACACACTCTAGAAAATAATGTAGTGTTTCTCTCAGAGAGTGAGATCAGATCAGTTTCAGCACAGATACATGAGATTATATCAGTCTGTTAGAACTCAACTGATTCAAATGTGTAATCAGATCAAGTGATTTGAATTATAATATAACAGAACTGAAGCAGTGACTAGTCAGCAGTGTTATATAGAAGTAGTTGTTTGAGAAGCTGTATAAGTGAGCTTGACTATCTTGCTTAAATAGCAAGCTCATAGACTACAAGGTTATTGCAAGAATATCACAGATGTGGTACTTAGTATACTAAGAAGATTGTATGAGATATGCAGTAACTCTTATATATATTTCAGTAGAAGAAAAAGATGAATCACTGACTTCTTTTATAAGAAGTCAGTATCTAGCTATTCTATATAGACAATGAGTGAATACCTCCTCTCATTTCATGAGTGAGAATAGCCAGAGTGATACCTCAGCGGCGTCTCACTATCAAGGAAAAGTAATCTGCTGACCTTGTATAGAAGCAGGGTTCTCATATTCATCAATCAGATCTTTCTATGATATATTCAAATAATGTCATAGGGCGGTTGCTAACCGGTTCAGACGGCCTGCGGGATGAATGAAATCATCCGCATGGAAGCAATGGACCGTGTGGAACCGCAGCGAGGCCTTGACGCGGCCGGAAGCGTGACAGTGATATATACTGTTAACTACTAGAAGTATTCACAGTAGAAAGATAAATATAGAAGTTAAATATATAATAGTATTCAAGCTGAGTTATAAATAGTATTTATAAACTTCAGTCTATATAGTTGTATGTAGTCAAGAGCTGCTAGCTCTATTAATTATATAAGAGATAGAAATAGAGATAAAGAATCTGTAAGAAGTAGAATTTCTTATATACTCTTCTCTCTCTAAGACTTTATCTGTAAAGTCTTTCACTGAGTGACTTTATAGAATCAGCTCAGTACTGCAGTGATACTTACTAAAAATTCTTCATAACTATAAAAAATCTCAGTGAGGAAAAATTTCTTATTACTGTGAAGAAAAAAGAGTCTCTTACTTAGTTTTTTATTCTATGAGATTCTTTATAATTTACAGATTCTTCTCTGACTATTACACAGATTCTTCTCACATGTTTTATATAGAAGAGTTCTGATTGACTCTCAATTATTTTCACAAGATTCTTATGTGATTATCACACAGATTCATCTTGTATCTTTTATACAGAAGAGTTTCAGTTAACTCTCAATTATTTTCATGAGATTCTTGTGTAATCATTATATAAATTTATCTTACAGATGAATTACTCTCTGTGAGATTATTCTTATTAAGAAGAAGTATTTATGAGTTAATCTTTTACTTATTCTCATGAATCATTGTTCTTTGATACTGTAGAATTGTGAGGAATTTTTCATTCTTTTATCAACTCTGTAGAATTATAGAATCAAGATATTCATAGTCTGCAATCACTCTTTATAGTTATATAGAAAGATTCAGATCTGTAATTTATAATCACTCTTATTTACTAGAGTGATCTAGCTGTTTTATAAGATCACTTACAGTGTAAGTAAACCTCTCTAGAGTAGTATAAATATCTCAGATCTGTTTATAAAATCTTATCTTCTTTTCTCTTTTTCTATAACAGCTCTCATTCTTATAAACTGTGAGTATTCTTATTCATTTATAAAGTGTTTCTGCTTAGATAATAGAGAGAGAGTATTTCTAACAATATCTATATATTAATTCAAGAACTTCTCAAGAATAAAAATTTTTCAATTTTAATATCTTTGTAAACAATGTCTGACTGCTACTGAGCTTCTTATGAATATCTCTGTAACTTCTCTGATCACTTTTTACTGACTGATAAAGCAGAGATATCACTGCTTATAACAGTGTTTTCATCTCTCTCAGTTTTATCACTGCACTCAATCTTCAGATTAGCAGTTAATTTCATATCTTTCTCAGATCAGTTTCTGACTTTAAGTAGTACAGTCTCTCTCTTTACTGTAAGTCTTCTTATAAGTAATTTCTTACAGATTTTAGCTAATAGTTCTTGCAAAGCTCTCAGTGTTATCAGTGTCTTCTGTAATCTCACAGATTTATAATTACTCTCTCTCTGTCTACATAATCTCTGATCAGATATATATAAATATATCTAGATTCTCTATTAATGATTCTCACACTGTGACATATTTTTGCAATTTCATTGTTAATAAGAGATGAGTCTTGAAGTATCTGTAAAATTCAGGTAATTAAGATAATATGAATGTTATAAATTTGTGATAAGAGTTAATCTAAGTAGATAAGCTCTCTCTCTGCATCTTAATTATTTTCAGACTGAATACTTCAGTATAACTGAGAGAGTGAATACAGTTTTATAAGAAATATCTGATTATATACACAGATAACTAGCTCTCAAGACTCTGTTATAACTATGTATACTCTGATGTCTGATTTCTCTGAAGTCTGTATATTTCTGATAATCTTTATACTAAATATAATAATTATCTGTATCATAGATATAATACTCTCTGCTTCTTTAAAGAGAGAAATTAATAGTTATAAGAGAATTGAGTGTTACAGATATTGAGAATGTGAGTATGAGTTTTCTTTATTTTTTCTTTATTAATCTCTAAATTGTGTTTACAGCTCTGTTTTTATTTTCTTATTTTTTAGCTTTAATAAGAGTATGATTTCTTCTTCTCTTTATATATACTATAGACTGTTCATCTCAGTAGAAACTCATTATCTTATAGACTAAGATTTATAAATGACAGTGTTAATATCTTTATTATAATCAAGTTCTTAGTGAAGACTGTGCTATTCTGACTTATCAGAATTTACAGTATAAAAGTCATGTCTTAGCTTCTGCAGATGTTTTATCTACTTGAATAATTCTCAAGTGAACTTATTCATTTTATCAGAATACTCTTAGCACTGAATCTTGAATCAGAGCTTATAATCTCACTTCTCTGAATTAATAATTTCTTTGATCTAATATTCTCTTTCACTCTCTAGTACTTTGTAAATAGAGTGATAAGTCACAGAATTCTCTTCTGAGAATTTCTTATATTTATAAAGTAAAGAGATATAAAAAATATTATATATCTATAACTCAGATAACAGTTTCAATCTATAGAACTGTGAGTTAACTTTCTTTATAATCTTATAAGACTCTGTCTGTAAGAGATTCAGCTTCTTACTAGATCTCTATATAATGATATTTTCTAGACTCAGTCAGACTCTATCATCTTTCTTAAAACTCTTTATAATATATTTAAAGTCATAGTATCTCTTCTGATACTTTTAAGTCTTTCTTAAGAATTCACAGACTTTCTTCTGAATCTTCTGAATTCTCTCAGTCTGTTCACAGATATCATCATACTCTATAGTGTACTATTATGAGTTTATCAAGATTATTTACAGATAAGTTTCAGTGAGTATCTTAAAAAGAGTTTTATCTGTACTAACATACTTTAAGTTATTGTATATAAACTCTGTAAGTGATAATTAATATACTCAGTCATTCTGATTATAATTGATAAAGCACTGCAGATACTGTTTTAATATACTTATCAGATATTCTATCTGATTATCTGTCTATTGATGAAAAGCTGTGCTTAGATCTCATGAGATCTTTAGTATAGTTATTAAATCAGATTAGAACTCTTCTGTGAAGATTGATTCTCTATCTGAGATAATATTCAGAGATAATTCATATAATTAGATCACATTGCAGACAAAGATATGAGTTAAATTCTTTCACTTCAAGTTCTTGTGAGTGAATATAAAGTGTGTTATCTTGATAAAGTGATTCACTATCATCAGTATACTATTAAAACAGATATTATATATATTCTTACATTCAGATATACTTAGACTGACTGTGTAACTGTGTCTGAGACCAGGACTAGATTTTTTGATAGTCTTATTACCAATTCGACTGATTCTATTACATGGTTTTAACATTAGATAGTAGTTTCATACTGTTTCAGTGAGACTTACTGTCTACTCTTGTTACATTTTTCAAATGAGACCATGATTTCCACTTCTCAATTTAAATTATTTTTATTGCTTTAAATGACTTTAAATCTCATTTGAGTGTTACCAAAAAGCGTTACTTTTTAAAAAATTAAAAATAGTCTAAAAAAAAACCTTAAAATGTCTAAAAATAGTAACTTTATGTTAAGAATGAGACTAAATGAGACTAAATGAGACCACTTTCTCATTTTTTTCAAGTCATGATTTCATTTTAAAATCTGATATATAGTCACTTTGCATGTTTTTTTGATAGCCAGTCTCAGTGGGATTCACATCAAGAAATGTATGAGATCAGATCAAATGAGATTAAATGTAAAATTCATGGTCCCAGCGGCCAGTCTAGATGTGGTTCGGAAGAACGTACGACCGTCGGATAATACCGCGGCCGCTTCCGAACTACTAGCGTACGCGTACGAGTGTAAAGGGGCCATAGCGGCTGCTAATTAAATTAGTGTATGATATTACAATATATAAGAAGCCGGTGTACGCCTGTAATTGTACACTGGCTTAAGCAACCTTTGAATCACATCTGGTAGCATGTCTAAAAACTGGTGAGAAGCACAGGCTTCTCCAGGACATGATAATTCTGTCTACAAAGCAATTCATAGTTATCATGTCAGAGTGGTTCTAGAAACATCTCAAAAGATAGCATACAAAGAGCAGTGAGCAGAAGAACATCTAATTGATACTGCTTTGCTTGTTAAGAGAAAACTCCACACTCAGACAAATACCACATATGAGACACAAACAGATGAGATGTGAGAAAGAGAATGAGAGCAGTGAACCAGATTCAAAGAAGTTCACTCTCTACTCAAAAGAAGAATAAAAGAAGAGATGATCATCACTGAAGTCATACAATGATAACAGAAATCATATAACAATATAGTGATAGAGTGATATAGCAATATAACAATACAAGTGATATAATAATAGACATTATACAATCAATCAGAAATCACTGAAATGAATATCTCTTCTAGTCAATATAAACAACACTCTTCTCTGCTACCTGAACTGAAAGATATGCAGAATCTCTCAGAGAATTTACTCAAAACAGTAAGAAAAGCAGCTGAAACTGCTGAACCAGAATTGAAGCTTCATACATGTACAAGGATTCTAAACAAGATTGAGGCCTTGTGTACACAGTGACAGGCTGAGACAGAAGTTAAATAACAATTGACATTTGCTGCAGATCAAGCATTCACTATAAAGAGCTTCATCAATGCAATCATCATTATCAATAAGAATAGAGAAAATCAGATCTTAGACCTGCAGCAGAAGATTGAATGTTTACACAGACAGATAACTATATTAAATCTGAAGATCTCATCACAATTGTTCACAATCTCTTCAGAAGTGTACACATTATCAGAGATCACTGCACAGAATAAGAATCTGAGTATGAAATACATTAAGCTAGAAGATCTGTCAGAGTTATTAAGCTTCAATGATAACTGAAAAAATGATGCTGTAATTAGCTGACTAAGTCAGATATGATTATATTATCAGATTGAATATAAACTCACAGATAGACAGTTAACAGAATTTTAATAAGTCTTAAGATCTGCTGTATTTCTACATGAAAAAGTGAAGTCATTATAAATAACTGATAAAAAGATGAATCTCACAGACTCAGAGTAATATTCATTTCTATAAACATGAAATAAGTTTCTCAAATGAATCTTGTATAACTTTGAGAAAGTGAATACATGAGATAAGTGTTACAAACACTTCACTAAGTGTAGACAAGTGAGTGATCTTATATTGTACTTCACACACTTCAGCTTACACTATCTCACATTGAATGAAGAGCTTTTAACATCATTCTGTTTACAGATCTTCATTCATGATCTTACACCTGAGTTGAGAGCAGAATGAAAATGCTTAACCTCACAGTCAGACACAGTGAAGAAAGCATATAACATTCTCATTATACAGAAACAAGCAAGTCAATTGTGACAGAAAATACTGCAATTGAGTATATCTCAGTGAAGAATGAATAATCAGACTTCTACAACACAAGTCACACACTCAGACATGATAAATCTAGATCTGAATGCTATTGCTAAAGCACTGAATCCTCTGAAAAAGAAATTCTCTGAGTGGAAATCTTGATATCATGAGCATCAAGCTTGTTTCAACTGCAGATATTAAAATCATGATGTAAAAGATTACACTCAGCATGCACAGTCAAAAAACTAGCAGAATCAGTGAGCTCAGAGACACTCACTGATATTCTATGAAAAGCCTTCAAAGTGAAAGAGATGCCTGTATTAGATGATTCTCTGAATCCTGCAAATGCAAAGAAGAAGCAGGCTCTTAAATGAGGTGCAGATGAGAATGATGAAGTGAACACTCATCTCAATGCCTTAAGACCTGAAATGTTAATGTATAGAGAACACTTGAATAAGAATCAAGAGATAGCTGCAAAAGTGTTAGCAGACACAGAAGCTTTTACACAATATATTGATGATTATATAATTTGAAGATTGAAAGAGGTTCACTGAGTGAAGAATCCCTAACATATAAGATTATTTAATAATTAATATTTGATATCACCTGCAAGAGTAAGAGTTCCCTTGCACTTCAGAGAATGATCTTGCTATATTTGAGCGCGAGAGCTGCAGAACATGAAATATGACCTTATTCTCAGACTCAATTGATTTCAAAGGTTCAATCTGCAGATTCAATGATGTACATGTCATATACAGTTGATCAATAGAAAGAAAATGATTCATACAATTCTATTAACTGATATGAGAAGAACATTTCACATCTCTGATATAGAAGGATTAAATCTGCTTACACATTAACAAGTAAAGAGAACAATTCACAAGACCTCATTCAAAAGCATTCTGTATGTCATACAGAACCCAGAAGCAGAGAAAACTAAGATAAAGAATATGCAGAAGAACAAGTGTATGAAGAAGCTTCTGAAGAAGTATGAAAAGATCTTCTGAACAGATCTTTCACTGAAATTACTATCAGAACAAGAATTCATACATGAGATTGACATGAGAGATGCAAAACCAGTCAATCAGAATGCATACTCTCTATCACAAATGCATCTTGAAGAACAGAAGTATCAGATCACTGACCTTCTAGAACATGATCTTATACAACTCTTATCGAGTATGTAAGGCTTTTCAGTTCTATTTATAAAAAAGACAGATGAGGAGTGACAGATGTGTATTAATTATCAAGCACTTAATAAGCTTATAATCAAGAATGAATATTCACTGTCATGAATTCAATAACAGTTGAATATGATTGAAAACACTCAATATCTATCAAAGATCAATCTTCTCTCAGAATACTGACAGATCTGTGTAGATGAACTATCAGTTCTATGAACTGCATTTAATATATAATAAGAGAAGTTTGAATTTCTAGCAATGTCATTTAGTCTGATAAATGTGTTCATCATCTTTCAAATGATGATGAATACAATTCTTCATAAACAGAATGAAACCTCATGTCTTATATATCTCAATGACATTTCAGTCTTTTCAAACTCATACAATAAATATCTGAAGCATCTCAATAAAGTGCTTACAACTCTGACAGAGTATAAGCTCTATATCAAATCAATTAAGTGTGTGTTTGAAATGAAAGAGTTGAAGTTCATGAGATATGTAGTAAGTGATGACTGTATACACCTCATTCTGAAGAAATTGAATATCATAGTGAATTAGCTGCAGCTGAGAAATATACATCATGTATAATAGTTTCTTGAGTTAATCTCATACTACTGTAGATTTATCAAGAATTTCATATAAATATCTACATCACTCTCAGATCTCTTAAGAGAAATGAATGCAAATCTGCAAAAGAAGAAGTTTTGTTCAATTATCTGAAATACTGTATGTAAAGAAGCTTTTCTCACACTGAGAGAATATGTAATAACATTCTCAGTGCTTATTCAATCAGATCATGATAAACCTTTCTACATTGAGACAGACACATTTAAATGAGCTATCAGAGACACTCTTCTACAGATGAGTAAGAACAGCAAGCTGCACTCAGTGACATATAATGATAGAAAACTATCAGACACTGAGCTTAATTACTCAGTGTATAAAAAGAAATTACTAGCAATCAAGTATACACTGATGTTATGAGATAGATATATTAACAACAGACATATAATAACAGTGATTATAGATTATAAAAGCCTCATCTATCTATAATTAATAATAAAACCTTTCAAACACTTAGTATATTGAATCTCAGAGTTTCAAGTGTACAATCTTCATATTAAATACTGAAAGAGATCAGATGCTGTGATATCTGATACAATCAGTTACAGACTCAATTTCATGAGTGAGAGTTCTGTGAATCAGATATAAGAAATATTCATATTAAACATACTGAGAAGATGTAAGAAATCAGAATAGATAAACATCATGATCTCTTACTTAAATAATAGCAAGATATCAGATGACAAGCATCTTGCAAAAGTAGTAGAAGAGATGCTTTCAAACTTTAAGCTGAGGAAATTGAAAAACAATATTATGCTTTATCACAATCTAGAATACACAGAAGCTTTCTATCTAGAATCTTCATTTCAATATAACTTGATAACTCACATGCACAAAGAATTTGATCACTTAGAAAGCTCTGAACTCATGAGTGTACTTAAATCAAGAGTATACTGACCAAGCATGACTGAGAACATTCAGACATACACTTACAAGTGTCTGAATTATCAGGTTGTGAAAGAATCTAAGAAAGGGTTAGAATGCAAGAAAGTATAATACTAGATAAAGTGTATAATACAATCATTTGAATAATGAGAGATGAATCTCATAGACATATTACTATGAATATCAAATGAAAATCAATGAATAATCACTGCTATTGATTACACTACTGACTGGTCAGTCATGAAAGCAGTTTCAGAGATGACAGAGAAGATGATGATGAAGTTTCTACATAATGAGATCTATATCAACTATGGAATACTGTGTGAGATTCTAACTGATAACAGTGCAAACCTCATAGAAGGAGCAGTGAGACATTTCATGAGCCAGTTACAGACAAGACATTATAGAACAATACTATATCATCCGCGGATAAACAGAAAGATAGAACACTTGAATGAAATCTTGAGTAACATGCTGATGAAATATCTAGTGAGCAAGCCTACAAGACTATGAGATAAATATCTCAGACAGGCACTATTGGCCATACAGATTCAACAGCATGCAGTCTTCAAGTGTTCATCATTCTACCTGTTGTATGAATTGCATCCGCGCATTCTGAAGAATGCTTCAGAAAAGATGAAGAAGAAAGCAGTTACAGATGCAGCAGTAGCAGTTGCAGACACAACAGTTGCAGACATGAAACTAAGATTGAAAGAGATCAGCTATACACATGCAAAAGCTAATGAGTTACTTCTGAACTGAGCAATTCAATTAAAAAGAATATGAGACTCACTTGTTAAGAAATCAAGTCTCAAGATGAGAATGTAAGTTCTTATACATAATGAGAGTTCTGAGAAGTTTCAATCTAGATGATTTGAGTCATATAAAATACTCAAATCACATTCTCTGAGAACATATGCATTGAAAGAACCAGAGAAACAGATCTTATACAACTTAATCAATGATTCACAACTTGTGAAAGTAAAGATGCAAGACCTGAGTGAATTATAATTATTCACAGTACTATCATCAGCATTGAAAAAGAAGAGACTTATAATTAAAAAGTCTCACAAAGTAAGAGAAATCATAGACACTTATAAATCAGATGATCTCACTTATTTCAATCTTTTCACAATTATAAGAAAAGAATGAGAAGTAATGAAGAAATCAGATGAACATCACACTTCAATAAGTGAGAAGACTGTAGCTAGTCATACAATAACATGTCACAGACAGTGAGTATAACACAGTAAAAAGCAGTCTCAGAGTGACAGACTTGTACATGAGTCAGATTGCAGAAGAAAAAGAGATTCAGAGTTGAATTCAACTGTTTACATCAGTTCAGTTGCAGAGATCACAGAGAATGAACTATCTAAAACATTCATGAACACATGAGACTAAGTTATCTCAATTTCTGAGAATGCTCAGAGGTTAGATGAGATTAGTTTCAATGAGCTATTCACTGTAGTAATCTGAGCAGGTGAAGAGAGACAGTATAATATATAAGACAGAATCACAAAGATGAAAGCTGCTGAACCTAGTCACTGAATACTGTATTATATAGAGGTTGTATAAGAGTAGTGACTAGCAGATAAAGAAAAAGTATAAGAAAAAGAAAAGAGATAATGAATTGATCATCAACTGTAAGAATAGGCTGCAAAAAGACAAATGTTATTATACACATCTCATTCATTTTCATACATCACACATTTAATCTATTTTCAACATCATGTCATCTGAAAAATGTCAAAAACAAAAGAAATCTCAAAACTCAAGATCTGCAAGAAATTCAAGAGCTGTAAGTCACTCTTA